AACACACACACACACACACACACACACACACACACACACACACACACACACATACAATTTAGAAAGTAATTATGAAGCGAATTCCTACATGATACCAAGAGCTGCAGGAAGCCATAGCAGGCATTTGAGCAGGGAATGACATGATGGGACTTAGCAATGTTGGGTGGGGGACCATGGGGAGGCGGCTGCATCTTCTTGGTGAGGCAGGTTAGTGGCTTGGAGAGTGCACTGGTGGGCAAGGAGTAGCAGAGGGGACAGGCTGGTCATTGCTGGTGTGTTAGCCAGGGCCCCAGGGTCAGGTCTGTGGGCCTAGATGGATAAAAGTGCTCATCCAGGAAGATGGCAGGTTGGGCATGGGCTGGGGACAGGTTCTGGTGAGGGCATGCTGAGGCTGGGGTGGAGGGCTGTGTTCAGAGGCCAGGCTGGGGCAGGCGGGGCTCGGGGAGGGCAGCCAGAGCACCTCAGCTTCCCCTCCTCCCTGCTCCTCTCCCTCTTTGCTGCTGGTGCAGCTGATTGCTGCTGCAGAGCCGACTGTGTCTTTAAGAGGGTGGTTACGGGGCCTTTTGTATTTGTCCTTCCTGATGCTGACGTCAGGGATCCGGAGGACCGATGAGAAGATTTGCTTTCCTTTTCCCCAAAAGGGGAGGAGATTGAAACTGAGTGGCCCATGATGGAAAGAGAGGAAATCCAGGGGTGCAAGAGGCCCTTGGGTGAAGGCAGAGACTAACATGGGGTGAGCTTGGGTGCCATACTGTGTGTGTGTGTCAGAGACAGAGAGACAGAGAGAGAGACACACAGACAGAGAGAGCTCGCTGGAGAGATGGTGATGGCCCTGTGGTTGCTTGTCATTGATTGTGCTGAATGTGGTCCCATGGTCTGTCTTGGGTCCTTGTCCTGGGCCCGTGGTGGGCAATGGCTCTTGTTTAGGGAGTACAGCTGCCTGCTTTTGAGCCTGGAATGTAAAGGGCCTGTCCTAAGGTCTGTCCCTGGGCTGTGATTGGCCCTGCCGAGGCTGTGCTCCACCTCTAGGCTGTGAGGTGAAAGCCCCTGGCCCCAGGGTGGGGCAGGGTGGAACCCTCAGTGGAGGTGGTTGCCCTGTAGCCAACAAAGCTCCCTCAAGTTTTGAAGGTGCTTGGTGTAGTTACTAAGCATTTGCCTTTTAGTAGAACACAGCTTGTCCTCTGAGAACATGGAGGTTAGTAAGGGCTCTGTCTGCTTTGGGAAGTCAGTCTGGTGAACTTCCATCCCAGGGTCTGCTCGTGCAAAGCTCAGTCTGAGAGGCCTCCCAGCCCCTCTCTGCACCCCTCTGGCACTTGCTTTCTCGCTTGTGAAGCACCCATGCTTGTCAGAGGTGACGAGCCGGAGACGTACGTGAGCACCAGGCACAGTACTTGGACACAGCAAGCTTGCAGTGAGAGGCAGCTGTCCTGTCACTCTGGGGGCAGCAGCCTGCCCCAGCCACGAGCGGCAGCACGCCTCTCCCTCCTGGCGCCTCCTCCTTCTCTCCCCTCTTCGTCCCTTATGCTTCCTGGGTCATTTCATCTTCAACATCTGCCTCCTACACTGGACTTGTGTTCCCAGAGGCGGGGGGTGGGTCGTCTTGCCCCCCACTGAGTTTGACTCAAGTCACACAGTGCCTGGCTTGAGGCATGTGCTCCATAACCATCTGCTGATTGGTTGGTGGGGGCTGGACAAGATGTGGGGGCGGGCAGGGGCTTGAAGAATTGCCTCCCATGTCCTGAGGGTGGGGCAAGGGTGAGATGCTTTACATAGACTCACACACGACCCCATTTTACACATGAGGAAACTGAGGCTAAAACAACTTCAAACTACACTACTAGGAAGTTGCTCTATCTGTTCTGCACAGAGTCTCTTCTAGCACGAGGGGTGCCCTTGGGAATGGGTGCAGTGTGGGCTGCCAGTCTGGGGGCAGCGAGAGGCTCTGGGTCATGACTGGCTCTTCTGCAGGTTTGGAGCAACTGTGGCCATTGGCCTGACCATCTTTGTGCTCTCTATTGTCACCATCATCATCTGCTTCACCTGCTCCTGCTGCTGTTTGTACAAGATGTGCCGCCGACCACGTCGTAAGCATGCCCACTCCCACCCTGCTCTACTGCAACGCCCCCCACCCTGGGTGGACAAGGGGAGCTGACCAGGGACCTGTTTTGGTTAAGCTGGAGTGAGGGGTGGCAAGCCTGGCCCTCAACGCCTGAGGAGATGGAGGTTCCTGACTGGGATTCTCTTTGCAGCGGTTGTGACCACCACCACAGCCACTACTGTGGTGCACGCCCCTTACCCTCAGCCTCCAAGTGTGCCACCCAGCTACCCTGGACCGACCTACCAGGGCTACCATCCCATGCCCCCCCAGCCAGGGATGCCAGCAGCACCCTACCCGACACAGTACCCACCACCCTACCTGGCCCAGCCCATGGGCCCACCAGCCTACCACGAGACATTGGCTGGTGAGTACCACTGCTGACTCTGTGACCCTGCCTGACCTCCCCAGCTCCTGCCTCTGCCCTGTCAGGCATCCATCCCAGAGTACATCTCTGGATAGGCCCCTTCTTTATGCTAGCCTGCCACTAACCTGCAGCTCACCGTGCCCATGACCAACCAGTGTCCTCTCTCTTTTCAGGAAGTGCAGCCGCGCCCTACCCTGCTAGCCAGCCTCCGTACAACCCAGCCTATATGGATCCCCCGAAGGCAGCCCCCTGAGCATACCCTTGCCTCCCTAGCTGCCACTTAATTATGTCATATGTGTGTGTGTGTGTGTGGTATGCAGGCACGGTTCTTTACTGTCCCATGCATGGTGTGTGTGTCCTATCTGTACACATGGTTTCCTCTGATGCTGATGAGCTGGGGAACAATCCTTGCCAGAGTGGGCTGGTACCAAACTTTGTTTTCTTCCTTACTTGAAATGATGCTTCCTGAAATCTCAAGCAAAATTCAAAGAATGGGGTGGAAGTTCTTTTTCAGCTCACCCCAGGGCAACCAGGTGTAGCCTGTTTTTGTGGGCACAATGCACATATGTCCTGGTTTCAGCAGAGTGGCCAGCTGTTGCTTGAAGCCATGGCTTATCCCATGGTTTGGGGGGCCCTTCACAGAGCCAGAGCCATGATGCAGGCAACTGGATGAAACTGGGGATTGCTTAAGTTGTCTTTCAGTCCTTTGGACAGACATCTCATTGCTGCCTGGAGCCTGTGCCATGCCTGGTGGGGGTTGGGCAGCCTCCTGATGTCAAAGCACCTCAGGTAGAGCACCACCCACCCCTGACAGCTGTCACCTGGACTGTCCCTGCATCCTCCCACTTGGAGGGCCACATCCACTCACGGTTCTGGCTGCCCATGGGGAAGCTTTCCTGCCCTTGCTGGCCCCAGCCCCTGACACAGGTAGGCAGGGTGGCCTCTGTCCACCAACACACTCAGGTCTCCTTCCTGCAGTGTTTTTATTTTACTTTTAGCCAAACATTTTGCCTGTTTTCTGTTTTAAAATGTGTGTGATAGTTGACTTGAGGTTGAAACCCCTGGGTCCTGGAGGGAAATTGGCCCACATTGGAAAGAGACAGTCTGACCTCTGATAGTCCCTGCTTCTCCTGACACCACCCTCACAGAACATCCAGCTCCTGTACTCCAGTCCACAGTCTGTCCTGGCAGCAGGGACACCTGGGCCAAGGGGCTGTCTGGACCCAAGGTGGCGGTGGAGCCTGGGTGTCAGCTCTGGCCCAGACATGAATACCTCGGTGTTCCTTGTCCTTCTGTTAATTTTTCACCAGATCTGTCTTAGCTCTGTATCTATTGTGTTTCTGAGAGTCTAGGGTCTGCACCCTTGTTTATAATAAATGCAAACATTTGGAGCTGCTGCTTCCTTTCTTCATAGCCTTGGCTGCTGGGATTGGGCATTAGGTATAAGTAGTTCCATCCACCATTTGGGTTTGTGTTTTCCCTACTTTTATTGGGCCCAGATGTCTGACCGTCCTGGCAAGGGAGAGTGAGAGACAAAGACTGAGCCACCCTCTGTAACCCCCTCCCCTGGTTCCTCAGTGTGGGCAGAGGCCCAGCTGTGAAGGAGGGTAGGAGACGAGTGACCGACCACTCAGTGCTACAGGGGTCTTTATTAGTCAGATTTTCCTTCTTGGCCTACTGCCCAGGTGTGGCCAGGGACAGTCCATACAGTGTGGCTACTGCCAAGGTCAGGAAGGCCAGCAGGCCTAAGGGAGCCAGCAGTCCCTCCCTGGGTGGGGCTACAGGGCCCTTCACTGGAGGAAGAGCCTTGGGTCTTCTGGTTCCACCAAGGCTGGGACTAGTGTTTCTGGCTGTGGCCAGGGGTACAGTGGCTGTGACAACGGATGGCCTTGAGTTGATCCCAGCAGAGGCTGTGATCCCATACATGGGCTTGATGGTGCTGAAGGGCCTGGCATGAGTATCCACCCACCGCAGCAGGGCCTGTGGCCTCCACTGACAGATGCTGAGCAGGGCTAGGACATCACCCTCAGCGGTGTGTGAGTCTGGCGGGGCCTGCCCATACAGGCGTGTGTAGATGCTGCCCAGACTGTAGCTCTTCCTTGGGCCATGCTCTGAGGGGCTAGTAGCTCGTTCCAGGGCCTTCAAGGCTGCAATGCTGTCCACACAGAAGGCACTATCCAGAGCACTGGCAAGGTCCAGCATAGCCAGCTCTGCCCGGAGCAGGGGGAAGTCAAAGCGGTCCCCATTGTGTGCCACAAGGCACCAGGGCTGTGGCTGGCGCTGTAGGAAGCCTAGGAGCAGGTTGGCCAGGTTGTCATTGAAACATTGACGCCCATGTGCTGCCAGCTCAGCTGTGCTCAGACCCGTGATCTCACTGGCTGCCGGGCTACAAGCCTTCCCCGGAGCCACGCACAGGGAGAGCTTGTCCACCACTCGGGGTGGTGGGGGCACTGTGGGAGGTTGCCCCTGAGAGGTCGGTGGGCTCTCCAGAGCACATCTGGGGACGGCCAGTAGGCACAGCTCCGTGACCTTGGGCTTAGAGAAGGGCAGGCCAGTGGCCTCCAGGTCCAAGAAGATGAGGGTCTGCATGGGACCTGAGGGCGGGGCCTTCGAGCCCATGGTGGGTAGGTAACTGCTGCTGACCCTGAGGAGGAGCATGGGTGGGAGGTGGAGTGTGTGAGTGCCCAGTGGAAAGAGCTAAAGCAGGTGGGGTTGGGCGGGGTGTGGGCAGAAGCATATCTCAGGCCTCCCCTGCACAATCAGGCCCTCTGAGTTCCAGGGCCCATTTTCAGGGCAGGAAGTTGGAAAGAGTGGGGTGGTTTCTTAGTGGGACAAGCACACTCTATTGTCTGGTTGGGGGAGAATTCCCTCTTCATACGAGTTTGGCCCCTTCTCTAGTGCCCACCTAGTCTGGGATGGGAGAAGCCTTCCTCCCTGCCCCACCCCCTTGGGGGTCCACACTTACCGTGGCAGGCAGCAATGACTTGTGCACTCTCCAGGCTGGTTCTCACTGCTGGCAGCAGTGGCGGGAAGTGAAACTTGAAACTCAGGCTGGGCCCGCCCACAGGCCTGTGTGAGCAAGGCCCGCCCTGCTCTACAGCCTGCTTGGTCTGTCCCGCTTGCCAACACCCAACCCTTTCCAGGCACCCCAAAGGCCTTCTTGGATCCACAGCTGTGGGCCTACTGGCTGGCATAGTGCACCGGGGTGCTCACACCAGTGAAAGCCAGCAGGGAGGACTGGGGCAGTGGGGATCAGGCTGTCTCTGTGTCTCCAGCACTGCCGGAAGCCCCTACCATAACCCTTCTGTGCCCAGCTGTTGCCCCCACATTCCCAGGCCTTCCTGGTTTAGGCCTGGGATGAGGGTGCCTCCTTCCCGACTGCACAATGGTTTCTTCTCATGGCCCCAGCCCAAAGCAGTGACTCAGGACAATTCCACAGGCAGGGTAGGGCTCTTTCCTCAAGGCAGATTAGTTACCATGGGGACTGGGCCTCAGTTCCAGCCAGGGACAGGAAGAAGGATCCCAGCCTCCCTAGAGCCCTGTCCTGCTCTAGCCCTCCCATTCAGCCAAACAGACAAGACTCAGGAAACACAAGGCTGGTATGTTCTCTGCAGGAAGTCGCTGCTTTTTAATCAGTTAATGAGATGAGGAAAGTAGTGGTGCTGGTGCCACCATGTGGCTCGATGCTCACGGGCCTCAGCCACAGTCCATCTCAGGGTCCTCCACATCCGTCTCCGTGCCACAGAGGTCATCCAGGGCTGCCTCTGAGCCAAAAAGAAGAGGGTTCTATGGTGAAAGCCCGAAGATGTTGGGGACTGGGGGAGGTCCCACCTCTCCTCCCCCAACGCCCACAGGAACGAACCAGTCCCTTCCACACCCAGGCCTTGCTCCCTCAGCTACTGCAAGCAAAGTGATACAAAGGCAATTCAGACACAGATATTTCTGGAAAAACCGTGGCTCTGCCAGGCCAACTCAACAGATATGAGCAAAAGGCAGCCTGATTTGCTCAGAGAGGAACTGGCGCAGGAAGACAATGAAAATGTCCCCACTCCGGAAAAGGCTGTCGTGGATGGAGGAGGGCTGCTGAAGTAAAGCCAAGGAGTCTTGTTCTGGAAAGCCAGGGAGAATCCACATGTGGGCTGGGGCAGGGAGGGGTCCTCTTGCTGGCTCACCTTCACAGTCTGTCACGTCAGGAAGCCCTCGAATCAGCATGCTGACCCCTGGCATCACCTGGTCATACTGATGCAGGACCTCCACACAGTGCATGGTAAAGAGCTTGTCCTTCTGGGACAGGCTGTGCAGCAGTAGCACTGTGTCCCGCAGACACTGCACTGTCCGCCTCTGCTGGCCAGTCCTTGGGGCCCCCCCTGCTCTCCGCACTGTGAGCCACTGTCTGTGCAGCATCACCGTGAGAGCTCGGACCACCTTCGGGGAGAGAGGGTGCATACAGGTCAGGGCTCACGGCCTGCTCAGTCTAGCCACCCCCAGTGAGGAGGGTCCTGATTGGGGCATGGGGTCCTTGCACAGGACCACCTTACTCACCAACAGAGCTGCCATGCTGTGGCCCCTGCCTTCCCTGGCCACTTACCTCCACGTTGCACTGGCAGTTGGAGCCAGTGACTGGGGGTGAGGGGCTCTGTACACCAAGCTTAGCCAGGAGCCACACCGTCTAGAACAAGAACAGATTCTGTCCCATCCCTGGCAGGAGACCCCAGTTACAGCAAGGGCTTTCTTGGGCTTCCCCTACAAGAGCTCCAGTTACTTTAGCAACTGCTAGTCTGCACAAATGGTGTCCAAAAAGCGGTGTTGTGGGGACTTCCCAGGCCAGACTCAGGACCGACATGTCTCACCAGCAACCCACCTGCCTCCAGGCCCACTTCCAGCCACCAGGCCCCCAAACCAGGATAGGACCAGTTATGGGACAACTCTATCAAGTCCGCTGACAACTGGGGTCCACCTGTATTGCATATGTGTAGTGTGGGGTCTCCAAAATGAGTTTATTGCTTTAGCTGCTTGATAAACTCTTGTTATCAAAATGAGCTAAAGCCTCCTTTCTCCCCAGAGAAAGGAGGAGAGGAAGGAGATTCTGTGGGCTCTTTGGATGGGGTGGGGTGTAAGCATCTCCAGAAAGGTCTCTGGAGTTTTTACCTCTTGTTCCAGCTGAAGCCATTGTGTCTCCGAGGCCACTTTGTCAGGCCTTGACGTGATGTACATGTACAGCAGCAGGAAGAGGCAGCCTTCTGAAAAGGACGCCCCATCTCTCACTCAACATCCCCGTTCTCACCCAAGCCTGGGGTATGAGCTGCAGGAGCCCTCAGGAAGCCCCCCGACCCTGTCCTTGCCACAGCCCTTCCCTCCAATCTGTAGGAGCAGTCCAGCTGCCTGCCCTGCCCCGTTTTACCTGAGGGGGAGCAGAGATGAGGCGTGAGCTTGTCATGGTCCACCAGAAGGGATAGGAGCTCAACCACCAGCAGTACACTAGGCACCGGAGTCTCTGGGCTGAGGCACTGGGGCAGCACCCGGAACACACACTGGAACCTAAAAGACAGGGGCCCAGAGAGACGTGGAACTCCCCAACCCCAATTCCCAAACCCACCCTCACTTTTCACTATAGGTTACAGGAAATTGGAGCAGGGTAGTTCAAAGAGGAGACTTGGTTCAGCCAGACCTGGGTTCCAATGCTGGCCCAACCACTAACTACTTGTTGCTGTGAAACTTGTTTCATGTGAACAGTGGGTTATAACCTTCACTGCAAGACTGTGGTGGCTTAAAGATGACAGGCCCTCCTCTGGCACAGTGTCACCATATCAATGAGTCGATCCCTGGACCCGGGGTGCCTGGCCTCCACACACTCCCAGGCTCTTTCTACCTCTGCTCCCAAACAAGGATGCAGGTCGTAACTTGGGCGTGAGAGAAATGTTCTGTGTCCACCACCAAAGGACGGTCCAGGGCTCTAGAAGTGACAAACATGGACTTGGCTATGGTTCGATCATGAGACCACTCACAGAGCAAGAAAGATCATTATCTTCATTTGTCAGGAAACACTGGTCTCCTCTGCTACCAGTATGAGAAAATGCCCACTGTGGGGTGCACATGGGTGAGGGGCTCTGGGCACAATCTCTCCCAGGTCTCAGGGCCAAAGGGATGGCTATTACCAAGGAACCAAGCCTCAAGGCAATCCTGCTGTTTGCTCAATCCACATAGCCTGGAGGAGCATAAGGGAGGGCTGGCCTGGTGGGTAGGGAGAGTGGCAATTCCAAAACGCTCTGTGGGTCCAGCTGTGCGTGCACTCCTTCATAAATCTGTGGTGTCTTAGCATAGAGTACACCCTACAGGATGTCATCAGCAAGCAAGGTCTCACTGGGACAAACTCATTTTAGAGCAAATCCAGTGCAGCAGACAAGAAGCTGAATGTTTTTTAGCTGCCAGGAAGTGTGGAACTTTGTGGAAAACTGAATTTAATCTGGTTGTTACCTGGTTTTATTACTGGGCTGCAAGTGGCCCCTAACTAGTCCTGGAAAGTATCTGCAAGAAGAATCCGTCTTTATATACAACACAGTGGTTTCCAAGCAATTTTTTTTTAAAAAAAAGATGACCGGTAAGGGGATCTTAACCCTTGACTTGGTGTTGTCAGCACCACGCTCACCCAGTGAGCAAACCGGCCATCCCTATATGGGATCCGAACCCGTGGCCTTGGTGTTATCAGCACCACAGTCTCCCGAGTGAGCCACAGGCCGGCCCCCCAAGCAATTTTTTTGATAGCATTAGAACCTTCTTTTTAAATGATTTTCTATGCAGAGATCCAATACACAAAATATGTAACAGTCATGCTGCTCTGGTTAAAGTTGAGGATGAGACCTATCTGCTGAAAAGCTCCTGCCAATCCTGGATCCCTAGGGCTGCAATAGATGCAGTAGGGACACAAGGATGATTTCCTTTCTGCAGTCTTCTGGGCAACTTGGGTTCACAGATTGCTTTATAGCCCTGACAGCACCCCTGCCAAGTTTCACTCCAAGGTGAACAGGAAGCTGTGTCGTAGTGGGGTTCAGCTTAAGCATGTAAGCATGAAGGAATTCTGAAGAGATAAGCACTGAGTGTGATGTGTCGGACAGCAATAGGGGCAATGGCTCAGTGGAAACTAATTGCCTTGAAACCTACCTCGGCGTGCTCCCTATGGGACTTCACACAAGTTTCCCTGCCTCAACACAGGATTTATTCACTCAACAAATATAGACTGGGCACTTACAGTGTGCTAGAGTCTGTGTTCGGTGTGAGGATGCAGGGCCATGAATGTGTCACGCGAGCTAGTGAATGGAAGGCATCTGTCTGGCTTGTAGGAAGCATCCTTAAAAGGCTGTTTTGTGGGCTGAGCCTGTGGCGCACTCGGGAGAGTGCAGTGCTGGGAGCGCAGCAGCACTCCCACTGCGAGTTCGGATCCTATATAGGGATGATCGGTGTGCTCACAGTGCTCACTGGCTGAGCGCGGTGCGGCTGGTCTCAAAAAGGACAAAAAAAAAAAAA